GAAACGCCAGCTTTCCTGTTCCTCTGATGCTGCCTGGCCTGCTGTGTTCATCCAGCTCCACACCTTGTTATCACTGTAACTCTTAGTAAGGCACAGGCTCTCATGGTAAAGCAGCATGACAGAAACCCTGTTGTGGCAAGTTTCTACTTGTTTCAGCGAGATTCCGGTCTTCTTCATCCCTTCCAAAGTAAAATGCCATTCAGGAGCTAGAGTTCCTATAACGGGAATTCCTGCTTTCTTGGTTTGTTTGGAACCCAGTATATACAATGCTGATCGAGTATTATCATTGTCCAATTGCTGAATGAATGTGCCAGTTTTCAGGAAGGCCCCATTTGAGGAAGGATAAAGGGTTCAGAGCCAGGTAAGTGGGGAGTTGATAGATACACAGTTGAATTTGAGAGGTCCTCCAGAAGGACAGACTAGTAGAACTCATGAATGATGCATTCATCTTTTTCAATTCATTCAATTTAATGTCGATTTCGTTCCACGGGCACCTTCTCTGCAGCCATAACATTGTATTCCTCACTGTGTTCCATTACCCTATGCACTTTGTATGGTAAATAAATTGGTCTGTACTGCACGCAGGGCACAACTTTTCACCATACCTAGGTACACGTGACAATAGTAAATCAAATCAAATTTTTGTCCTTCTCATCTTTTACACCTCAAAATGTAGCCAGTATAACCAGTGCTTACATTTCCAAGCATTACTGGTTTCTGTCCCCTGGGAAAGCCCCCTACTCACCCAAAATGAGCTGTGGCACATCATGACTACGTGGGGCAAATTGCACACTTAGTGGAACATATTCATGCAAAATGTGCTCACAATGACCTCAAACTTCAACAGGGCCAAAGGCAGACATTCACAGCATGTTAATAATTAGAGGGCTTGATCAGTAGTTTTTTGTTTTCAGGTGTATTTGTTCTAAATATTTTCAAATTGGTGGATAGGTCCACCAGAGTCTGAAATGTAATTCATGTTCCTCACTAGCGGAGAGGGTGACTAAAGGGAAAGCCTTGAGATTTTAAAAAGGATAGAAATACTTAGATGGGAAAATTAAGAAGCTGGGAAAGGAATTCAGAAATGTTAGAGCGCAAATTGGCATCTCAGCTCCTTATCAGCAGTGGCCAGGCCAAAGTGGCAGACAAACAAAAATAAATAGTGATTGGAAATCCTAAATGCAGACACAAAGTGGCAAAATCATTAATAACACAGTGTGGAGCCAGAGGAACACAGCTGGCCAGGCAGCATCAGAGGAGCAGGAAAGCTGATGTGTTGGGTTGGGACCCTTCTTCAGAAAATGGACCTTTCTGTGTTCCCCCAGCTTCACACTGTGTTGCCTCTGACGCCAGCATCAGCAGTTCTTACTATCTCTAGCAAAATCATTAAACTCTGTTTGACGACTAATGCAGGAGATGCTTACATGGAAGCTGCCCTAGTGTGTTATTTCTCAGCATATCTTATTGGCCAGAATTACAGCATGCCTGTAAAGAAGGTGCAAACAAGTTTCAGATCCTAGCTGCCTGCTGAGACCTCTGTGCCCTAAACTAGCCATAGGTGCCTCTGCAGCAGTTAGTGAGCTAGATGGGTTTTTACAACAATGATTGTTGTCATGGTCACCACTACTGAGACAAGCTTTATATTCTAGATTTGTTAGTCACAGCTGTCACAGTGGGATCCGAATCCTGGAACAGAAGCACAGGAAGAGACCATTCACCCATGTACACTATGCATTAACTTGGGCCTTTGGATTACTAGTCACCGAGTTTACCAGATTGTCAGTCTCCCTAGCTCCATTTACTACCTCAGTTCCATAACCCTGAATATTCTTGTCCAACAAGGCTGTATCCGTTTCAGTTTCCACGAGTAGGGAAGGAGGGGCCTGCAGCAGTCCAGACAAGAATAGGTCATAACTCCAGATCAGGAGTGCTGATACAGTCCACCCTTTGTCTGCTTTGCCACTGCTATTCCACTTCAAACTACTGGCACTCCCATTATACCGCAAACTGGGTGTACAGGTCACCAAAATTGTGCCGTGAATTTAGAAAGGACAGTCTTCAAATTTAAAAATCAGAATTATCATTTGTGTTTTAAGAGATTTAATTGCCTACAACACTCTTGCTCAATAAGCCGTAAAACACAAGGAATATTACTAATCCAACAGCGTGCAGTCACATCTAGAGACCAGACAGCACAAATGCAAACAAGTTGGTGTAGGTGCAGATTAAACTCCGTTGGAAAATTTATGACAAACTCGCTATATTTGACCAAGCAGCATGAATCTGCAAAGCAAATAATGAAAAATGCCTTGGAGTCTTACCAGTTCAGGAAAGGTACAATACATCTCTTATAATCTACAGCACTTCCCGTTATCAATTTCTCAAGGCCGTTACATATAAAAGAGTTTAAATTGATAGGGAACAAAATTATAATTCTGAAGTTCATTCTAATTACTGAAATTAACTGAATCAACTAAAAACTTGTGACCCCATTCCTACTGGCTCTAGGTCTAACTTTGTATTTCCCTGAGATGGTTGCATGAAAGCAGGCAGGTCTTGTTAATCCATGCAAATCAGATTCCATACTGTTATTGGAAACCCAATGATATTTTAACAGGCTAGGATTGCCAATGGACTCCAAACGTTTGTGCCAGTTTTACTTGTATCTATCACAAGGCATTCATTGTGTAACATTTATCCAACTGATACCCTCCTTCCACTGCTGAGGGTGACCTCCTGCGCACATTGATGAACACTGCTACTGCTCGAGTGCAAAATCATAACTGTGGAAATTTTTGTGCAATTGAAGGATTTGAATGCCCAGAGATACAAGCAATATTTCAGCCTATAATAAGCCCACACAAATTCCATTACAATTTTTATAGTGTGCTGCATGCTGGTCGAAGCCCAAGGAAAGCCAGAACAACACTTCTGCCGATCTGTTTATTCCCCTCCCTGAAAAGTAAGATTCCTTGTTAATCATTAAAGCACATTGAAACCAGTTAACTTTGATCTCAATTCCCGATTGGCAACACTCACTCAGTAGCTATGAAAATATCAAAGTGTAAATATGATAAAAGTTGACGCTCAATCAAACAGCGTACTAATGTTAAAATATCTCCAGCGAGTACATTTTGCACACGCTCTACCAATGAAACCCCGTATGGCATATACACAGCAAGCCCCTTTTCAAACACCCTCCAAAAAACATATACAGCTTAAATAAAAAAGCAGGAGCTGTGTTTGGATTATTGATTTTAAGCATGATCACTACTACGAAAAATATCACATTCTACACGACATAAAAATAATATTCAGATGCCATTCCCAGAATCTCCTTCTCAATCACCAATCATATTCTCCTCTATGCTTAGCTCCTGATAATAACTGTGAGCAGCTCATGGATTTCTTTTCCATTATCATGGCTGTTCCCCACCATAACCCAGACCTCACATTTTCTCCATCTGTGCAGTGAGTACAAATCTTATCTGACACGTGACACAGGTAAATGAATTTCTGAATTTAAGACAGATGATATTCACAACTGTTGCGATTGTAACAAGGCCAGCCTGGTGGACCTAAGAATAGGAGTTCCCTGACTGGGGCTGTTAATCTGGTCCAATCCTGGAGCCCTGGCTGACAGATAAGAACAGGACTGTCAGACGTCTTGTTCACAGAGAGCTGGGTCAGTGTCAAGGACTCTCCACGTGTAAACAAAGAGTGACTTGGTGATGGGATACTGGTATCTGTGGAGTTACTTCAACAACCTCAGCCTTGTCCACCATATTACCTTATCAACTAATCTCTAAAGTGGTCAAAATGACTTGTTGCCTTCAATCCATTCTGCTTCCCTACCTCTATCCAAGCGGGTGGTCATGAAGTTGTTGTATGTAAAATTACTGTACGTAAACTTTATTAACAAAGGAAAATTATGCCCTTACCTCTATGATCTTCATCTTTTTGTTCACGATGTTTTCCAAGGAGATATCAAGGCAGATTTTCAATGCTGGGCTATCCAGTAGTCCATTCAGTAACTCATCCTCACGTAGACAATCTTTCTCAGTCTCCACTGTTTGCTGCAGTTCTGACCAAAGATTCCCATTCAGGTCTAGAGCACACAGTACATCAAGCATGTGCAGGAGTCCTTTCTCTGATCCAGTGGTGCTAGCAGCAGTGGTTCCACCAGTTGGTAGACCAGAGAAAGAAAGCTTCAGTCCATGATTGGACAATTTGTCCTGTAGCTTCTGCACAAAACCTTAATAAAAAGATATTTAAATAAGAGACAGCTGAAAGAAAGTTTCAGTATTTTAATAAAAAGGGCACATTTATCAGGTGGAATTAGAGTCAACAGAAGGTGTTTGTATTCCAGTGCATAGCAGCACATACAATAATGATTCCTAACAGTCCATCCTGATTTTAGACAAGTCGACATCATCATCATCATCATCATAAGTACTGTGCGACCGCAGGTATTTTCCCCTATACAGCATGTCAGCCAAATTTGGCTAGTTTGCTTTTTATCTTAGTCACTTAAAAGCAACATCAGAGACCTGAAAGTATATTAAAAAATCCCCAAAGAACATAGAACATTACAGCGCAGTACAGGCCCTTCAGCCCTTGATGTTGCGCCGGCCTGTGAAACCAATCTGAAGCCCATCTATCCTAAACTATTCCATTATCATCCATATGTTTATCCAATGACCATTTAAATGCCCTTAAAGTTGGCGAGTCTACTACTGTTGCAGGCAGGGCATTCCACACCCTTACTACTCTCCGAGTAAAGAGCCTACCTCTGACATCTGTCCTATATCTATCACCCCTCAATTTAAAGCTCTGCGGATGCTGGAAATCTGAAACAAAACAGAAATTGCTGGAGATATTTTCAGCAGGTCAGGCAGAATCTGCGGACAGGAAGTGCTGAAGAAAGGTCACTGGACTCAAAACGTTAGCTCTGCTTTCTCTCCACAGGTGCTGTCAGACCTGCTAAGTTTCTCCTGGAAGTATATATTACTCCAAAGGACCAGAGTTATAACTCAAGGAAATAAGGATTAAAATTGTTCAGCACTAGATGTAAAAATGATACCGTAGTCTACACCAAGTTATTATTGAATTTTGATTCCTTTAATGGAAAGGCTGACAGAACACTATTCCCAAAATACATATTTCTTTTACACCAAACAGAAGCATTAAATCTCAGATTAGCCGCTCACCTTTGCACTGTGCTAGGCAGGAGCGAAGTTTCTCATTACTAATCAGGTAGTCATTCTCAAAATATGGGGTGAAGTGGAACTCCTGCAGAATGGGTTGCGTCTGTTGCTGCTGGCGTCGTGGAGCTACTGTTGCATGCAACCCACTGATCTGGACACCTCCTGCTACAATGTTGTCAAGGCAACGATTCACAACGACACCCACAGCTGTGAAGAAACAGGAAGAGAGAAAAATCATAACAAAATGAGCATGTTCAGAAACAAGAACCTCACAGAACTAATGACTAACCCGAAAAAAAAGCTCTGCATAAAAGTTTCAAAATAGGGATGTAAAATATAGATGTAGCATTCTGCAGAATTATTTCTTTGTGGTGCGAACAAATATTGAAATCATCAGAAGCTTCTGCTGTCCTACAGAAAATGCTTCAGAAATAACTTTAATCGAAGCTATCAATATCTTGGTGAAATGTATCCAAGAATGTACTGATGTAGCATTTGCTGTACACAGAGATAAAAGCAAGTTAAAAGACATATCATGATATGGATTACATTCATGTCCTTGACATGGACCCAAGATCAAAATAATGCCAAAGCTCCATAAATTGAGGCAAAGCCACTTCTGCAGATTAGCATTTAGGAGCAAAATCCTAACTTTTCAACATCTGACCCTGACGCTTTGAAAGGAAAGGGTGGTCTATGTTGTACATGGGGGAAGGTTTTGATATGGTGAGCTGGCGGGTAAGTGGAGCCGAGTCTCAAAAAGATCAGCCATGATCTTATTAAATGGCGGAGCAGGCTCGAGGGGCCGGATGGCCTACTCCTGCTCCTAGTGCTTATGTTCTAATGATCTCATGATATGGTTTGATTGTGTGCAATTAGCGACCAACCACCGTGAGGATTTCGTAAAGGCTTGGGGAAAGTAGAATCTAGTGGGAGTCAGACCTAAAAGCTAGGCCCTCTTTACAATCTCTGAAGTATTATGTAGCCTATTCTTATAACCTGTAAACAATTGCAGAGATGCACTACATCCAGTTTACTCTACAAGGTGTTCTGGGTGGCTAACTTCACACATACTAGACCAAAAGTCCCCAAAAAGAACACACACCCACAACACACCA